CCCAAGACGCCCCAAGAGGCGTCGGCGAGGAGGCCGAAATCATTGATCTTACAGAAGTCTTGGCCACACGTTGGCCGTCTCCGGGGGGGGGAATTATCTACGGCCCCTCCATTGATCGATCTCCTCCAAGATGGACCCAATATGGACCCCGAGGCTCCGAAGAGTGCCCCAAGAGGCGTCCAGGAGGCCCCAAGAAGCCTCCAAGATGCCTCCAAGAGGCTCTTAAGAAACTCCCAAGAGAACCCCAAGAGGCTCCGCCGAGGCACCCACGACCCTTCAAGAGGCCCCCGGGACCGCCACGAGGCCCCTCAGAGGCCTACAAGAAGCTCTCAAGAGACATTCGGAAAGACTACGAGAGACGTTCAAGAGGCCTCTGATTGTTCTGCTCACCCTCCTCCTCCTACTCCTCCTGTCCTTCTCTTCCTCATCCGCCTTCTCCTGCTCCCCCCTCCCCCCTCCTCCCTCCTCCGTCCTCCCTCTCCTCCTCCTCGTTTTCCTCGTCCTCCTCGTCCTCCTCGTGCTCCTCCTCCTCCTCCTCCTCCTCCTCCTCCTTCTCCTCCTCCTCCTCCTACTAGTAGTCCAACTGTGGCGTCGCTGCTGTTTGGCACTCTGCTGCAATCTCCCTGCAATCTCCTCCTCCTCCTCCTCCTCCTCCTCCTCTTCCTCCTCCTCGTCCTCGTCCTCCTCCTCCTACTCCTCCTCTGGTTCCTCTATCCTCCCCGTCTTGGGGGATGAAGGCTCCCCAACCTTTGTTCCACTGCGTGCTCCTCCACATGCCCGATCACGGCAACTCGCCTGGGCATCGCTTCTGGATTGGCTGGCGGGGTTACAGTCAACCCGTATAGTAAGGACGCACGATATGGATGCCAGGACTTTGTAAGGCCATGTTGGTACTTTGCGAGCAGGGCGAGGCCAGCAAAAGCGGCCGAGGATGGGCCACAGGGAAAGGATGCAATGGTAACCTTGGAATACCGTTCATCCTTACTATGCGGGTTGACTGTAGAATTTCTCCGAGGTCGGCGGGGATTTCTTGGATCGGCGCTGAGCCCCCCCCCTCTGGCACGCAGAGCACGCCAAAAAACACGCCAAGAGCGGCGCAAGAGGCGCCGCCGGCGGGGGCCCGACGCCGATCCAAGAACTCCGCGCGGACATCCGAGAAATCATGTTCGTGCCGTTGCTTGTTGTTTCGGCAGAAGTACAATCGAATCGTAGAATGAGGACGCACGATAAAGATGCAAGGGCCTTGGAGGGCCATGTCGACACTTTGCGAGCGAGGCGCGGCCAGCGGAAGCGGCCAGGAATGGGCCGAACGGGAAGGATTGCAAGGATACCCTTGGAAAGCCGCTCGTACCATGCGGATCGACTGTATCGTTTGGACGTGAATGAGAATCAAGCGCCAGCTCCCTTTGCACCAGGGCTGAACCTAAGTGGTGTTTTTCGTTGTCTGTTTGTTTTCGTTGACCCTCACTTTTGTCTCGAATCCGCCTTTACCGCAAAACGAAGTCGAAACGAACACGGCCCACGAAATCACCAAACACACCGTTTAGGTCCAGCCCTGCTTTGCACTACCTCGCACTTCGACGGGCGGGGGCCGCTCTGGGGGCCCGAGAGGCGAGCGGAGTGAGGGCCAGGGAGAGGCGCCGCGGTGGAGGGACGGCGACCGAAGGGGTAACCGAGGCCCGAAAACCACGCAGGTGACCGGCCTCGAAATGAATGATCCCTGCAAGATGGACAAGCCCAGAAGTGATGACAATCGTAGGGGTGGAGGCCTGGAAATTAGTACCAACACCAACACGGGGGGGTTGCCTCCACGGGGAGAAGATGGTCCTCGATTTCGGTGTTGGTGGTAATATTTCGGTCACCTTGGAAGCCAGACTATTACCACCATCACCGAGATCGGGATCCTCTTTCCTCGGTGGAGGAACACCGCCGATATTGGTGTTGGTGTCAACCTCTAGGCCTGCGATAGGGGTGCACCCTCAGAAACTGAGGGGATCCTCAAGATCGGCATCGAGGCAAGGTGATGTCAAACGCAGGGATAGGGAGATGATTCAAGCTAATAACCAAAAACTCGACAGAAGGAAGGAAAACGGAAGATGTGACAGCTCTAATCCTCGACTCTGGGAGGCTTGTCTTTGACTGGACCGGATATTTGGGGCCCAACCCTGGAATATACGATGGGGGGGCGTCCATCCTCGACGGGGGTGCGTCCGAATAGCCCCCTGGAGATGTATCTCAAAGTGTTCCCCCTGTTTCTCGCCATCGCTCGGACGTCCATTCCCCGTGCATTCTTAGATTTCGCGCGTGTTTTTTGTTTGCCCGATGATCCAGGATGCTCCTCGATGGTCCTCGCCGAGAAAAAATGTACACGTCAGAGCGATGCCACGTTTTTTCTGAGCGACCACACGTTTCGGGCGGAACGCGGGGATCGGGGAAAAGAATCGCCTGCGAAAGCAAGGACTCGACAGAAGGGCAGGAGTCTGGTGAGGAAGCTCGTCGTCGCTTAGACGACCACTCCGCATGCATTTTTGTCTCGGTGATCCAGGGTGCTAGCCAGCCTCGAACGTATCCCTATCCTTAAGATGGGCGAGCAAAAAGCGACGACGACCCAGGGGAACCGCCTCCAGAAACTGAGGGAGTCCTGAAGATCGGCATCGAGGCGAGGCGACGCCGAACATGGGGATAGGGATAGGCTTCAAGCTGGGAAGGTGCTCCTCGACGGCCCCCGCCGAGGAACCACATGCACACGCCCGAGCGATTTGGAGTCCCGAAACGGTGCGGTGACGGACCGCGCGGTGACCTCCAAATCCCCCACGACCTCATCGCACTGTCCGTCACTGCGCGGTTTTGGGACCCTGGAGGCCCCTGTCGCCCGAGACATCCTCGGAGACGGACTCGAGTCCCAAAACCGCGCGGTGACCCCGGATCCCCACCGACTCACCACACGGTGTGGTCACCACACCGTTTGGGGGCCCCCGAAGCGAAGCTGGGGGCAGCAGGGGTCCGGCGAGGACGGGCAGGCGCGGAACACCGGGCGCGGGAGCGGCAGCCGCGGCGGCACGCGGAGCGGGCTCCTGCCCCGCCGCCGGAAGGCGTGAAGACGGACGCGCCCGGGTTGAAGGAGAAGGCCTCGCGCTCCGGCGGGGGGGGACTGTACATAAGGAGTCGGACCCTATACGCCGACGCTCCTTCCGGCCCTCCATTGGAATTTGCACCGGAGAACGGATCCCGAGTCCTGGGATGGAAAAACAGCTCGCCACTGGTAATGTATATGTTCCAGTCTCCGATGTACACTCGACCAAGGTAGTAAGGATGCGCGGTGAAGATGCAAGGGCCTGGGAACGCCATGTTGACGTTTTCCGTGAGGAACGCAGCAGAATGCCGAAGGATGCCAGATACCGAAGGGGCAAGGATGCAAGGGCAGCATTGGAAAATTGCCCCATCCTTACTATCATGGTTGACTGTCGGACCCGCCGTTCGTGCGATAACAACCAAATGGTTTCTTTAAGTTTCTCCAGTTCGTAAGCCCCCACACCGGATTAAGATCCCTGATGGCGCAAATCATCCGCACTCATAATCCTGTTGTAGCAGCCTTTCTAAACGGATTATTTGTGAGGCGACCTTACAAGAAGGATTATACTTTGGATCTTACCGAAGGACCCGGCGGCGGGAGAAAGGGGGGACCGAAAAGGAGAAGGACTCCTCAGAAGGCGGCGGGGCTTCTCAATGGCCGTCCCGCCTTCTGAAAAGTGTTCGGTGGCTTCGGAGACAGCCCAGAAAACTTCTCCGAAGGCCAGGGGGCTTCCGAGCCTTATGAAAAGGCCCGCCCCTTCCCCCTTGCACCCCGCGCTCGCCGCCGAGGGAGGACGGCAGGAGCCGCCGAGGGAGGGCGGCAGGAACAGGCGTGCGTGAGTGGTCGGTCGGACACGGCCCTTCACTCGTGAGGAGGGTCGCATTCGCGCCCCCCACCCAATGGGAGACGGCGAATCAGAGGGGTGTGTGGGGGGGGGAAGGCGGCAGAGGCGGTTCGTGACGGTGCGCTGACGCAGGGGAAGAAAAGGTACCAGTGCCGCTGGCCTTGCATCATTTTCGCCGTCTTGGGGTTCGTGGTAGGCCCTCGTCGCCACCTCTGGATTCGCATCGAAATTCTGGTCAGAACGCGCGCCAAAAAAATGTCTGGGGATAGCGGTATCGCTACTTTTGATTCCCCGTCACGGTGCGTCTTGGCGGCGCGCGCAAAGGGGAAAAGGGAGGGGAGATGGCTTCTTGGAAGGAGGTTGCTTCTTACCGGGCGCCAGCCTTATATCTACTGACGATTGACACGGCCCGCGCCTTGTAAAAACCAGGGGTGATTCTCAGAAGCCTTCCCCGCTCCCCCCTTACCCCCTTCTCTGCGCGTGGCCAAGCGGGGCGGGGGGGCACGGCTGAGGCGGCTCGTGGCGTTGCGTTGGTAATCGGCACAACGGCGCGGAGGGCGGGACGAGGGCGGCACAGCGCAGCCAGGTCCAGGTGCAAGAGACCCTTGGACGCCCACGAATCGAGGCCGAAGCTGGGAACCCATGGCCCACGGCTGAGGGCTAGGATGGGCCGAGCGGCAATGATGTAACGATGCCCTGGCCACAATACTCATGTTCATGATGCGGTTTGGCATGCAGTGGCTGCGTGAGAAATCTGGCGTGACGTTTGTGTGGGCTCTCCCTGATCCGACTGCTGAGCCTGCCGCGTGGCGCGACCAAATGGCCGACCCCAAATGGGGCGAGCGCATCTCTCGGGTGTTTGTTTGTAGAGTCTGTTGCGGGCCCTCCCGAAAAAAGTGCGGCCCCGCACCGTTGAGGCCGCATGCATGTGACGTCTGCGGTGCGTATTTTCCGACGTACCGCGAACTCTCCTCTCATCATACAGCGGCTCACAAGAAACGCAAATCAGACAACGAGTTCATAGGCGATACAGCCACCTGCCCCGTGTGCAACCACTCGCACAGCAACCGCCAGTACCTTTTTGAAACACTTGTTTCAGGAACAATGCGGTGTTACGATATTGAACGGTGATTACCCCAAGACCCCTCTCCAAGAGCGTGAGCGTGCCGAGCAGAAACATCGTGAGCTCTTGAAGCAGGCCCACCACCAAGGCAGAACTTATCTTTTGGCCGGCGACCGGTTTTGGAACTAAGTAGATGTTGCGCTATACAGCTCCTATCCAACTTGCCGCTTTCAGTTCCTCGGGACAAAATATGATGCGGTTTTGGGAACGTAAGTGGGGAAACCAAGCGGTACCGATACCGCTACTCCCTGGACCTCTCGCGGGGCGCGTTCTGGCCAGGATTTCGGGGCGAATCCATCGGTGGCGACGATGGCCGCCAAAGTACCCTCCAAAAACGAACACGGGGCGAGGTAACGGTACGGGTGTATGTTTCCTCCTCTGAATCGGAGGAGAGGTATTCGGGCGCGTCTTCTTCCTCCCACTCCTCCATCTTGACTCGCGCTGCGTCCTGGTCCTCCTGTCGTTCGTCATCTGCTTCACTTCCTCCCCCTCATCCTGCTAGAGCACGACCTCGTCAAGGCTCACATCTTTGTCCAGGTGCTGCTGCTGGTCAACATCATCCTTCTCCTCCTCCTGCGTTCCCCCTACTCTTCTACGTCCCCCACTTTCCCCATACCTCGTCGTGTTTCATGTTGTTGTCCGGCTGTGGTTGTTGCTCAGCATCCTCCTCATCATTTCCCTGCCCGTTTTCCCCATAGCCCTTTCGTGTTTACATTCCGCTACTGATATGTATCTTTGTTGAAAGTGGGGCCGACTTCGAGTAACGGCTGGAAACGAAACGAGCTGAATGATCCATGCTAACCTGCGAATATCGGAAAGCTGTGACCGTATAGGCTCCTCGAAAGTACCCTTTGCTACTCTACAAAGAGCGGCACTCACGAGCGGCCCCAACGCAAAGCAAAGGTCCGATCGGTTTGCCGACAGCGTCACGCCCCACGGGTGGGGACGGCTAAAATACAAAACAAATCTGCCATGACGGCCAGCGCTGGCGGCGATGCAAACGCGTGTAGCAGTATTAACAGGCGTGCTTGGGGGAAGGGGAGTGAAGAGGAGTAGGGAAGAAGGAAAGGGAGGTGAGGGGGAAGGCGACGGAAATCAGTTGTACAAATACTCGACGTACTTGTTTTCCAACATAGACCACTTCGGTCGTGAAAACTCCGGAACCTTCGTGCCAAAACCAGCTTTTCGCGTCTGTGCAGGAAAATAGAAACACTGTCGGTCCATTGGACCGCGCCTTCGAACAACATTTTGCGGAGTCCACGCGAACACCGAGTGCGGCCAGCTGCGCGGATGCGCTGCGATTCTGGTCAACAACCGCCGACGTGCACGGTCGATGCACGCAACCCAATCCAGAACATCCAGAATTGACAATACAAGCTTTACTTGTTCCTTGCACCGTCTGCCAGCGTCCTCCCATGACTCTGCGGGAAATTTGCTGAAACCAACCATCTCGCGCAGCATCTGCATGCGCGTGGATGCTATTCTGTCGCGCTGCTGCTGGTTGATAGCAGCAGTAGCCATGCCAAATACTGCTATTGGCGTGACTACCGCGTTGAACAACTTCAACCGTAGCTTCAACGATGTGGATTTGTTCAACTGTACTTCAAGCGTGGCTTCGACGGTCCCATAGGCCACCAAAAAGGGCCCCGAACACTTTCACCAAACTTCGAATACGACCCCCAAGCCGGCCATGATGGGATGGCCCAAAAGGGCCCTAAGACCGCCCAAGAAGGGCCGCAAAGGGGAACCCGAGCCCACATTTCGAGCCCTCGGCCCCTGGGGGCTACTAAGACGCCTCCACAAACCTCAAAGGCCCCCGACAGGCACCCATGAAGCCCCAAAAGAGCTCCAACAAGCCCCCAAAGAGGCCCTCAGGAGCAACACACAACAACCGCCCCAAAGGATCGGCCTTCTTGCGTAAGCCTAAGAATCTTGGGGCGCGCCCTCAGAAACTGAGAGAATCCGTCAGATCGGCATCGAGAGAAGGTAATGCCATTCATAACGAGAGGGATATGTTTCAGGCTGGAAAATAGGGACGCACTTGGTCATCATAATTGCCTGTGAATGCAGAGAAGGATGCAGTGGCACCCAAGTAAGAATGACTGCGCATTCTCTGCGAATCAGATGATTACTTATCGGCATTTCCGCGGAATCAAACTATCGAAAAACAGTCGCTCAACTCACACAACTTGGACCTCTACCACCTGTCCGACATGGAAAGCCTGCCGGTCAACGAAGCTGTCGTCGAGCAGAACCCGCGTGACTAAAACATCCTTTGTAAAGTTGTACTCGCCCAGCAGCTGTTCCCAGCTCGTTGCTGCACGATCCAAATGCATCACCTGCTCGAGGCGTACAAAAAAAGGCGCTCGTCTGATGTGGAACCTGATGTTGTAAACAAACTCGAAACCCGGGAGCGCTGCAAAGAAAACGGCTGGCGATGTGCAACCGGACTGCTGCCACCTTTCCGGGTTCCATTCGAGCATCACAGCACGCATGCTCAACAGCGACTGATTCGCCCCCTCCAATGCTTTCCACTCACACCCCTCACAATCAAGCTTCATGAACGTAGCTGGAGGCTCGCCACTCTCTCGTGCGAGGATACTGTCTACAGTTACCATTGTCACCTCAAGATGTTCACCGGGAGCTGAGACGTTGACATTCTCTGTGTCCCATTGCACGCTTGTGATAACGCTGTCGTCGTAAAACTCTCCATCCCAATATATCTTGATAAGGTTAGCGGTGCCTAGAACATCACCAACAGCAGCTTCATGGACATGCACATCTCCAGCAGGTGGCAAGCAACGAAAACCATTATGAGACGATATGCCCGCAGCGTCATGGCGTAAGCGCCAAACGTTCAAACGCAAGCACAGAGCCGTCTGAGGGTGCGCTTCAAAGGAAACAACGTCGAAGCCTAACTTAGCGAGTAGAAGACTCACTGAGCCTACATTTGCGCCAACATCCACTACTCGATTGAGGCCTGGAGCTAGGTTCAGCATTGCAACAATGAACATGAAGACATGCGCTACAATGTCCGCGTCTTCCCAATAGCCTACGTCACGAATGTGTTTCATACTCGAGCCCGCATC